AAAACAGTAATAAATCTGTATCTTTGTATTCCTCTGCGAGTTCAGAACAGCCAAAAAGGCCAAAGCAAATGAGGTTCTAATACATATACAGAATCCAATTCTGTGTTGGTGTATATTGATTTCAGTGCTCCTAAGCCAATTTATAGTGGCTGATGACCTGGCACAGGCTGCGTAATTCATCATTAGGAGGGAAGGCTTGATGACCATTCGTCACGACACCTGCTCAAAGGATGCGGAGATGGGCCCGGACCCCAAAAAAGCCTGAAGACCAGAAAGCCAAGCAGAAGAAACAAGCAAAACAGATTAGGAAAATACACACGTAATTAGAACTCAAGAAAGCAGTCACAGCATAAATTTTGTGCAGATAAGCACACACATCATCCTGGTCCAAACAGGGACCCGTCCCCTGTTCGTTAGCGCTCCTAATGATGGCAGGGACCTGCTTTTCTCGCAGTCACTGATGCTCTAGACGCAGCCACCCTGGGGGGCTGTGATCTGTCTGGGGATTAGGAGTTCCCTTCACAACTTTATTTCTTCACTTTATTTCTAATTTCGCTTCTCCTGGCAAAGAGCTATTTTTACAAAGCAAAATGACAATAATTGGAATCCTTTTTCTGATCCATTTAAAAACTGCTTTCTTTATATGCAGTTTCCCTTGGAAAGGAAAAAGAGGGCAGAAAACCACATGTTTAAGTGGTAGCTAAACAAGAGTTAAATTTACACAATATTTGGAAACCACACAAGATTGGAGAACATTAAATAAAATTAAGATGGAGATGCTTGAAGGAAAGAACGTAATTGTCAGTGTAGCTACATAGCAGGTAACGAACTGGATTTTCTACTGAGGTATGCAAATTATAATTAATAATATTATATACTCATGCTATTTATGTTAATTTTCTTGTATTTTTATCAGCCCAATGGCTCATTTTGTTTCAAGTGTTTTAAATTTTCCGCAAATGGTTTGTGATGTGAGGCGGAACCGGAGCTGAGGCATACGACTCCCTGACTCACACTAATGCAAATCTCTTTTTTATACCTCAAACAATAATAAAGAGCATAATATGATTTACATTCCAGGTTGTTTTATGCTGGTCTACAGAGTGGCATAAAGCTCTAGCACGCAAAAAAAGGCGGCGCCACTGATGAAAGTGGGTCTCTCTTCTCTGTGAAATCAAGGAACTTTATAAAATACTAGTGGGACCTTGATTGGGAACGTGTTTAACCTGACAAACGGCACAGCCGCCTAAACGAGTTCTACTGAATATTTTACAAAACGCTGCAAAGAATCATAATTAGTTACAAACAAGTCTGTTTCTTTGCTAATACAGATGCTGCCATGCCGACAGTTTTAGCAATCATTTCAGCCATAATCTTCTTCTCATCTTGTCTGTGGGAAACAGCTCTGCAGGGACCTGTTGGTGCAGGAAAGAGGAAGGATGCCTGGGATGACATTGGTCACTTGAGTCTGCACAGGGTCTGCGCTGGCATCATGGAGATGATCTCTCTTAGAGAGATTTTTCATCTTTGATTTGGCCGGGAACATAGATCTCAAAACGCATCGTTCTGGCTGCAGCAGCAGCAGGTACCTACAGCCGTGCAGTTCCAGCATGGACTAGGGCCGCTGCAGGAACGACGTGCATCCGTCCAGCTTCACGCCTTCCAGGCAAGGAAATGAGAGTTATCAGAGCGTTTCATCTCCTTACAGGGCTGCATTTTCTTCAGTGACGCACGTTCCACACAGAAAAGCCGCTGAAGCGGAGCCGAAGTGGCCACTTTGTGCAGAAAAATTTGTATAAAAAAAAGCAGCACTGCAACTTGCAACAGAGGCATGGCCCGGCGAGCCGGCTGCACGCCTGTCAGTGCTCAGCCCGCGCTTTGGAAAACCTCGGCCTGGCACCGGCCCACCAAGCAGGATCTCCCTGAACCTCCATCCAAAAGGAGGGTTTCCAGACTCAACACCAAGGAGACAACATCCCCAGAGGTAATGAAAAAGCCTCTCCTTGACACTGTTTTTTCAGAAAGAAAAAACATTTCTTTTCTAAAATTAGCTAGGGAAGGTAATCTTGCTTACTGCACTTCTGCCCAAAACGGCTGTCTCCTTTTCACTTAGGGTATAAATCCTTGCCTCATGCAGGGTTCTGAAGTTTAAAATGTACAAGCAGTTAGATTAAAAATAGCAGCAGGACAACAGGGGCTTCTGGAAGGGTGTGTGTTGAAACGCGGATATCTCACAGTGCTGCAGCCCAGACCCCAGCGCAATGAGGAACCCAAAGGCAGAGCAATCGCACTATCCCACTTACAGGTACAATAATCAAGAAAACAGGTATTTGTCACTGTAAATGTATTAACATTAGCACATTTTCTATCGTGTAGAACTATCTATCAAGTAGGACATCCGGCGCTCAGAACATGTGCCGCTGGAAAACACTCTCTCATCAGGGCGCAAGGCACAGAAACCGGAGGAGGAAAGGATCTCTCACATTTAATTAACCTTTCCCGCTGCAACGAGAACATCAAACAACTCCAGTGTTACTGATATGCTAACAGAGGGAAAAAAATAAACATTGATACAAGAACAGAATACAACAAAAATCAACCTTTCCTGACAACCTCCAGGAGCCCTGGAAGACGCTGACAACGGAGGCACGGCTGGGTTATCTGCAGCAAGCAGGCAAATGCGAATTTCATTTTATTTTTCTTCCCCCTTTTTTTTTTGCACTATGCATAGAGGCAGATAACTCCATTTAAAAGAGGAGCACGGTCAGAGGCAGATCATAATCTCCAGGGCGCGCGCTGTGATGGAGCATTTCACTGAGTAATGCAGCAAGTAAGTGACAAGTCTGATTTTCTGTATCAAATCCTCTGGAGTGTTCCCTTCTCCGGACGTGAACCCCTGACCTCCGAAAACAACCTGAAAAGCCTCACCAGCATTACAATTATATTTTAGCAAAGATACAGTATTTCTCAGCTTTACAAAGAAAAATGATTAAAGGAAGATATTTTTGTTCAGCTTGAGCTATTCATATAAAATGTTGGTAGGAAGTTGTTTTCCACAGAAATTTCCAGCACTGCATTAAACTTGAATCCAGTTGCAGAAGGCAGGTTTTAAAAAACAATCCATTTGCAATACTAAATTCTTGCCAAACACAAGTTATCCTTGAAAAATGAGACACTTACAGACTAGGAACTCATCACCATGAAGGTCACAGCAGCGAAGACAATATTGGAATCTATTATCTTAAAAAATATTAACTGGTACAGGTTACAGGCTAACAGCTCCAAAGTCCCCTGCTCACCTGAGGAAAAGTGGATGCAAAGATAGTTCCCAACCTTACAAGTACTCACTATTCTTTCCATAAAATCCTTAGCTGCTTTGCAGAAATTACCTGTATGTGTGCAAATTGGCAACAGCCATGCTAGCGGCTGTGCTCTAGCAATGGCATCCCGGCTGGTTGCTTAGGCTATAATCCAACAGATGCTCCGGTGGTCGTATAGCAAAGGCTTCTTTTGCCGTCTTGTGCAGAAGGCAGTTTCGATGCTGGGATACACAGAACAATATGAAAGAGAACTCTTCTCATCTAGTTTCCACTTGGGAAAAATCAGGACAAAAGTGCAGTTTGTGGTGGCGAGAAACAAAAAATCTGCAATTCTTTTAATTAAAAAGAAAAATAAAAAACTTTGTTTTGTTCCCAACTTCTCTTCTTTACATTAAAGATTTCACTTTGGTTTTATGGTATTTAACCCTTTTTTATGTTCCCTCATTTTATATTTTAGTAATTTTTAAAGAAAAAACCCTGCTATTTTGAAATGGAACAATCAAAACCTCAGAAGACTAAAACATTTCTCTATAATACTTTGGGAGAGGGGAGGTGGCACCGCTCATCCTATTCAAACCAATTCAGTGAAGTGTGTGCTGAAACTCTTTTTTTTTCAGTAGCAAATTTACTACAAACCAAAAAACATTTTTCCTATCTCTGGCGTTCAACCCAACCTTCCCAGCTAACAGAAGTTGGGCCCTTAAGAACAGTCTTGGTAAGGGAAAACACTGAATTTCTCACTGTTGTGTCCAATACAGAATGACATTGCATTGACGGTCCTGAAGCTAATAACATGGTAGCAACAAAACAAATATTCTTGCAATTGTGGGGAGGTCTTCAGAGGCACAAATATGGGGCCAGTGCATAATCTGTAGCCTTCTCCTCTCCAAAAAACATCAGTCTGAAACTATATACCAAAGCAAAGCCCATCCTTACCTCTAAGGAAACTTTCTGTGCCTCAGCACAGCTCCAACTTGGCTCCTGCCAGCTCAATCCATTTCCCCCAAGCTAATATGATGTGAGAGATGGGGCTGTTTCCAACAGAAGATTGTGGGTGAGCAGACAATTCTATTAGGACTGAGAGGCACCAACACAAGTTTAAAACAGAAGGCCCACAGAGCTGAGGTTTTACATTTATATTGTGCTTGGATCGATGCCTGTGATCCGATCGCATCGGGAGTAATGTGGAGTCTCCAGGTGGGAAGGATTCTGCAGGTTAAATCCTGCCTTCTTCAGCATGGGCAGCAGTTACTGCTGACCCCTCTTGAAAGCAGTCCCGAGCCACATAAAAGCAACTACCATTTATTAACACAACCTGGAAATGATACCTATAGCGTGGGGCAACTACTATGTAATAAATCACAAGCTGCAACAACCATCAAAATGCTGCACCAGAACCAGTTTTACATTTGCTGCTAGAAAGAAGCAAATAAGCTCGCGCTTTCTGCACGTTACCATGCCAATGTCCTTCCAGCAATATATTTCTGTTTTCCAACAGATCGGAGCCTCAATCAATATGCACCATTCAGGCTTTATTTCAAATTACACCCTTTCTGAGAAGTACTGTTTGTAAAGCAAGTAATTTAAAAAATATCCCCCCCAAATGACTTGCTCACAAAATATTTACTGCATATTGCATTTCATGCTATAAAACCCTCTGGATGCAAGCAGTCTGCTTACCATAAAATGTCAGCTGTCCCCGTGCCACGTTCTTCCCTCTCACATTTTCAGCTATGCACTCATAGAGTCCAGCATCTTCCTGCTGAAAATTGGGGATTTCGAGGACTCCACTTGATCTGTGTCTCCTGGCTTTTCGGGGTATTTGCTTCCCATCTGCTCTCCTCCAGCTAATGGTCGGAACTGGGCTAAATGGGAAGAATACGGCAAAATAAGACTCAGAGTAAAAACTGCGTCCTCTTACTGACTACTACCTCATACTTACAGAAGCAGAAAAATAGCTTCCAAGGATAAGTAGACTTTGATCCCGTGAATTCATCCTGCAAAAAGCAAACTCGGGCTCTAGACAAACTGAGGTTTCACTTGAAGATCTGGGCTCTAATCCTGGTCCAGCAGCAAAGCCAACCTCAACTACTGCTTAAAATGAAGTAGACCCTGTGGATCACAGTGACCCTTGCATATCTCCTTGCATTCTCCATATCCTTGGGCTTATCTGGAGTGAAATACATCATGAATCTATTTGGGCCACAGCTTAGGGTCTTATCCTGATGCTTGCCTGATCAACTTGATTCCATTTCATGGTTGAGAATGCTGGAAGCATGGTGAGGCTAAATTCTCGGCCAAGATTCAGGACAGTTTTATTCGAGGTCGTATGTGTGTGTGTATATATAGATAAAATAAATTAAAATACGCATTTATACAGTGGTGCCTCACTCACATAGTGCCAAAAGCAGGAGATGCTACATTATAAACACACTGTTTCCACAATGTTTTAAGTTTGGTAGCTGCTGGTACCAAAGCAATCCATTTTCCTGACAGTCCTGTATGTGCATCTTAACAGTGTTGGAGATACTTACTCCAATTGAGACTGACCTGTTTTAAGTGCTCCTTGGAACAGAAGAGACTCACATACATCTTAACAGAGAAAGTCATGACTCTTCTCCTTGAGAGATTAAACTTTGGAGCCAAGTGAGCAAAAGTTCCCACTCCCCAAGTGACAAATGCTAGAAAATATTGCACCTTTTGAGTAAGGTGAGCAATCAGTGCAACCTGTGAATGCCACAATACAACAGGATAAAACTGAGCAAGTGGAGGCAGCGATACTGGATGAGAACTTACTTCCCCAAGGCAAAGCACTCCAGCTTCACTGTTGTTCCTTTCGCGGAGGGAACCGTTTCTGGGAACTGCACCTCTATTTTTGGCTCATACTCTCCCATCACGCCTGTGAATGTAAAATAGATGCTAAGGCTTGGCTGAATTTTTGCAATAAATTCGCAAGTGTTCCTGCACTAATGCGGAGCTGTTCCATACATCATTACTTGCCCAATTAATCCATTCATTTTAAGCACAGCCTGTTGCTAACAGCCATGTACTGTAAGCTCTTTTCCCATTTACTGCCAGAGGAAAATTTGAACCACTACTCCATACCATCTGCCAAAGATTAAAATTTCTTCATGGCTCTGTTAGTTTTTGTTTTTGAATATTCGGGATTTTTGCAGGTAACTTGTAAAATAAGGAAAGCAATAAGAAGTCAGGTTCACTGCCTTTTAAAAAATGAAATGCGGAACAAATAACCATTAGAAAAAGTTTTAAAAGCATTGGAGCTAATCAAGCTTTCTATTAGCTTCAAGAATTTAGATGCTCAGAGATCATATACTCTTTGGCTAATTTCTTTATCTTTTACTATCCTAGTAAATCATGCTTTGTGGAGGTCTCTTTACGAAATTGTGTTTAAAAATTTGTGCACATAAAAAGGCCATTATACTCATGATAAATTGCTACACTTCTAGTCACTGCGCTGTCTTAAAAGTGGTACATGTAATTCCACCAACAGTGATTACGGGCTAATTGATGACTGCAGTTGAGGCCCTCGGCGCTGCTGGAGCCTTGCCCAGCCAGCCGGCGGCCGCGAGGGCTGCAGCGCTGCCACCCGCACGAAGGCCCGAGCGGCACCGCGCTTCTTATCCGAAAACGCGGTGCCTTTAGAGAGCCTCTGGCCACGGGTGCTCTGTGCTGCTCACTGCGGTCCAAAAAGCACTGCGTGATTTGCACTTTTAGAGGTGGCATGAAAAGCCTTTTTGCTTTACTTTTTTCTCAGTCAGGGACTTTTGCAGCTAAAAGTGCTCGGTATGATGCTCACACCAGATCTATCTTTACTTGCTGACCTCGACATTACCTGCTCTGCTGCAATACGTCACTGCTCCTCAGCACGTGGCTGTCAAATAAGCACTGCTGCCGTGCTCCGTGAGAGCAGCTGCTCCCTCATCCAAAGGAGATGTGTTCGTTAAGGACACGGATACTCTCTCCGTACGTGTCCTGGCAAGCATGCTCGCCAGGAACCCCATTCGCCAGCATCCTGGAGTGTCATGCAAAGAACAACTGCAGTATTCCTCAGCTCTCTGCACGTGCACACTGCAGTCTGCAAGGGCTCATGCCACTTGCTATCAGGCTAAGAGAACTTGCCAACTCTTCGATGTACATATCTGAAGTGCATTGTGGAGAGCTTTACTTTTTGTGGCTACCATTGCAAATCCAAGTTGCACAGATTATTTAAACTGGGCCAGGTGAAATGCATTTGTGGGAGGGAATTTTTAAGATGGACAAAGGAAAGGCATCTTTTTTTCCTAGCTCCTAATGCACTTTGCATGCTATATCCTCATCAGATAAGCTCTGGCTGAGAGGCAGAGCTGGGTGTAATACCAAGTGAGGCGCCTGCCTCCACCTATAGCCCCCCAGAGATTTATGGCCTCCCAGAGAAAAAATAGTCTGGGGAAAAGTAATGGGATAAGAGGCACCTTCTATTTCCACAATATAGCAACAGGAAAGGAAACCTGATTTCTGCCACCAGGAGAATGCACTATCGGTTGCAAAAAGCCACTGCAAATAACATTAGGTGATCTATAACTCAAGAGCTAAGCCATGAAGCACAGGTGAGCAGTGCAATAAGCCCAAGGAATGGGATGTGCTCTGCACACCTGCATCTTTCCCTCCACACAGTACAGCACCAGAGGCTGGTGTTTTGAAGCAAGCAGTGCTTTAAAAAAAGAAAAAAACATAAGAAAAAGGCATTTTTTCAGAATGATTCCATGCAAGTAAACCTGTGACAAGGGTGGCAGATACTCAACATCAAAAGTCAAAGTGATTCATGACTCAATCTAAAAAAACAACTGCCGTAAGTTTAAAAAGAAATGCAAAAATCCCCTTGCCCGACTCTCCTAGAGGAGAACAGAGTGTGCGGGCTTCAGAAAAAAAAATTAAATTAAATTTGGCTGGCAGGGCCAAACTTACTTTAAATTAAACTACAGATTTAGTGTTAGATGCAATGTGGATTCCTACACATAAATGAGACCAGAGCTGGAAAAGGGGCCACAAGACGATCCCTATGCCAAGAAGGAGGAATTTTGTAAAATGCCCAGGGGTGACAACGGATCATTGCCTGGAATATGGCCCAACACTGGATTTCTATTATTGGAACAAACGTCTTAAAAGTTATCCTTTAAACAGACACTGCACATTAACATGCAAATATACTTTTCTACTCAAAAGGGAGTATGATACAAATCAATTCTCTGTATAAATTTAGAAATTCTCTTTTGGCTTTTTTCTACTTCTTTGTACTATTGCACAGACTACTAAAAATAGCATTAACTCTGCTGGGAAATGCAATCCGTGCTAATAGTTACTGAAACAACAAAGTGCTTTGGTTCACTTTTGGGCTGCATAAAATAAGCAAAACTAGAATCTAAATTCTAAAATGCACTTGGATCCTGAACGTGGATCTCTTGTCCGTGCCTTGGTTCCGCACCTACCGTCGTTCCTGAGCAGCAGCGGCGTGGGCGGCCCCAGCGCGCGGCTGTTGGTCACCGCGTTGGTCACCACGCACGTGTAGTTGCCTGCGTCCGACGCCTCCACCTTGGCGATGTAGAGGTTGCCGGTGTCCTGCGAGACGAAGCGCCGCTGGTCCTGCTGCACGAACGACGGGTACTCGTTGAAGATCCACGCGTAGGTGAGCTCTGCAAACACACGGGGCAAGGCGTGAGTGCCAAAACCGCCTGGCTTTGCCCGGGTCCCATCACCGTGGCTATAGAAGCACACTTCCGAGCCTGCACATGGATCCAACACTTCCACCAAACCCCGTGGAAAAAATTAATAACCTTACCACCCTACCACAAGCATTTCACCCTTTCTCCCTTTTTCCATTTCTTTCCTTCCCTTTTGAAGGCTCTTTGGAGGGGGATCCTCCAAGCCACATTATCACACCCTCAGCATTTTATTCCCTTGGAATTCCCCAAACAGTAAAACCCTAAATGAAGTAGCTGCAATATTCTATGTGACTAATTAGATAATATTCCATGTTTTATAACAGCTCTTTGAAAGATATTTGAGCAATAAGAAATGACAGACACATCCATGCCGCAAGTGGTTGCAGAGTTTCTAAGTGAGGTTAATGCAATATAACCCTGTTATATTTGCCTAGGACGAAAGCCCAAACACACTAAAAACACTTGAAGAACTACAAGATTGCTGTAGTTTTCTAAGGGAATGCTAATTATCCTAAAAAGCATTTTCACAGTTAAATACTCTAATGAGTCGTAACTGTAATTGACCTCAACTACCATTAGATACTTTTGAAAATATATTCTGCCCTCATGTCCCACTGTTTACACATATAAGAGGCTGAATGCAGATTGTTGGCTTTTATTTCTTTAACAACAGGATTATAAAATGTCTGCTTCGACTTTTAGGAAGATATGATAATTATGTTTATGTGGGAATATCTAATCATGATATTTACACATGTGCATTGAATTATAAGTAACCTCATGCTGATGTCAAGAGGATACTCAGCACAAACAACGTAGCACTTCTTAGCTAGCTTATTATTTTGTGGAAGTAGTTTTTTTTTTTTTAATTTACTATTGGTGAACACTTTTATATATGACTGCATCCTCACACAACAAGTTCATATTAAAATCCCCCAAACTCTCTAATACTACTGTGTTTTGCCTCGAAAGTATAAGGGGGAACTAACCATGATTCCCAATAAAAACACAGGCATGAGCTTGCATAATGTCATTAATAAAGATATTTCAGAATAAGCAAGTTTTTTGACTCTTGTTTTTCTGCCGGAAATTAGTGTTACCTTAATCATTAAGAACCCTCTGATATACAGGGTAAGTATTTTCCTTTCTGGTTTATACCCATGTGTTTCTGAGCTGAAAATGCCTTTAGCTCGCAGAGCTCCTGTCTCTTGGCCGGCGAGCAATCGCGAGCTCTGTGCAAACTCCACTTCGTCAGCTCCTCTCTCCTCACTTTTAAGACCTTCCAGCCCTGTCATTATACATCACATTGAGAAGGACACAATCATTTGTATCCTTGACGAGGTTGGAAAGCCTGGACAAGCATGTCACAAAAACAGAAGCACACATGAAGTGTGCAACACAGGGAAGACAGATCATCGGGAGCATGACAAGGTTGGGATCCTGGATTTCTCCACACAGAAGAGTCCAGGCCAGGCAGACCTAAAGTGTCCCATTTTTGGACTGCAAAACTTCAAAACCTTCCCCAAAGCCCTCTTCGAATTATACTAATTTTAGCTACACAAAGTGAGGAACCTCAGGGTCAAAATCTTGAACATAATAAAGAACTGATGTTAAACAGCTCTGCTTTCCCTCCACTGTAGCAACGCAATTTCCCACAAAGATACAACTGCCTGATTCACACAGCCTTAGATATATTATACATTATTGTGATATATTTTAAACTGGCTAATTCTCTATCGTGGGACTTATGAAATGCAGAGTATGAGAAATGAAGCAGACTGGAATATCTAGAAGTGCATTTGCTTGTGTAGCAGCATGTAAATAAATACTGTATCAGACTCACTTTGATTTCCTTAGAGATCTTAGTGCAATATTTATGGCTTTTCAAACTTGACGGATTTCTTTTGATAAGGTTTCACATACTAATTGCTCTGTAAGTGATAGACAGTTCACATCCCATAGACAATTTGTAACCACTCTGTAAACAGACACTTAAAATACAGTCGGAGACGGCTTTTGGTGACTTGGAGTGATTGAAATGTTTACAGAAGTTATCAACAAGGAAACTTGCAGCACAAAGAATGAGGAGCAACAAAACAATTTATGATTCTCAAATTATGCATTAAACTATGCAACCTTGAGGAGCGTATTGCAAACTTCCTTCCAATTTTGGTCCCTTTTCATGCAATTTTACTTAATTTATGACGCTTTTAATTTCCCCTTTAATAGGCACATGACCAGGCCTCTCCAACACAGAATATTGCACACACATTTCTGAGCCATATCCACAGCTAGAAAAAACAAGCACAGACTCCAGCAGGCCCAGTCCCATGGACAACAGTAACAACCCTGACGTGTCACCCACCACAAAGCTGTCCCTTATACTTCTACACACACCTCGCTGTTCTCGTGGGCCAAATTTTCATGCTATCTCAGGACGTGAAGACTTGGGAGGTAGATCTTCACTTCTGTAATGAGCATCAGAAAGGATGGGAGGACAAGGTGAAGGGTTGTTGGTACGGGATTCACCTGTCATCTCTGTACCTGTGTTGTGGAACCACCCGTCCCATTACCAGATGATAGAATCATAGAACCATTATGGTTGGAAAAGACCTTCAAAATCATGAAGGACACCAAACCCCAATGACTACATGGATCACAGAGTGGTTAAGGTTGGAAGGGATCTCTAGAGATTATCTCGTCCAACCCCTCCCTGCTCCAGCAGGGGCAGCTAGAGCGCATGGCAGAGGGTGGCATCCAGATGGGGTTTGAAGATCTCCAGAGAAGGAGACCGCACAACCTCTCTGGGCAGCCTGTTCCAGGGCTCTGTCACCCTCACAGTAAAGAAGCTCTTCCTCAAATGGAGGTGGAACTTCCTGTACTTCAATTTGTACCCATTACCCGCTGTCCTGTCACTGGCCACCACCGAGGAGAGTTTGGCCCTCTCCTCCACGTATTCTCCCTTCAGGTACTTATACATATTGATCAGATCTCCTCTCAGTCTTCTCTCCTCTAGGCTAAACAGGCCCAGCTCACTCAGTCTTCCCTCATATAATAGATGCTCCAGTGCCTTAATCATCTTTGTTGCTCTACACTGGACCCTCTCTAGAAGTTCCACATCCCCCTTATACTGCGGAGCCCAGTACTCCAGGTGCAGCCTCACCAGAGCTGAGGAGAGGGGCAGGATCCCCTTCCTTGACCTGCTGGCGACACTGCTCCTGATGCAGCCAGGATCCCATTGGTCTTCTTGGCCACAAGGGCACATTGCTGACTCATGGGTAACTTGTTGTCTGCCCAAACCTCTCTAGGACCCTGCACTTGTCCTTGTTGAACCTCATGAGGTTCCTCTCTGCCCAACTCTCCAACCTGTGTAGGTCCCTCTGAACGGCAGCACAGCCCTCAGGAGTGTCGGCCACTCCACTCAGTTTGGTATCGTCCACAAACTTGCTGAGGGTGCCCTCTGTGCCCTCGTCCAAGCCATTGACGAACAAAGTGAACAGTACCGGGCCCAGTACTGATCCATGGGGGACAGCACTGGCCACAGACCTTCAACTAGACTGAGCCCCATTTATCACAACCCTCTGAGCTCTGCCATCCAGCCAGTTCTCAATCCACCTCACTGTCCACTCATCTAACCCACATTTCCTGAGCTTCCCCATGAGGATATTATGGGAGACACTGCTGAAAGCCTTGCTAGAGGCTTCTAATGAAGAGGTGCCTTTATCTATCCAAACCCTTGCTGATGGGTTACACACACACTCCTAGTACAAACACAGCATGACCATTGTTGGAAGTAGGAAAGTTGATTTCTTTTTGCCGAAAGAACGCAAGTATCCATACCCAGGATGCTAGGAATTGCTCTAAGTGTCTAGAGCAATGAAGGTGAGAGGACAAGGATCGGGAAGAGCATGATAGACCTGCTCATCACCTGCACATGGCAAGGAAGCCCATGGAAAAGTCTCGTTGGCCTCGAGCGAGGTGAGATGAAGGTGGAGAGCACATCATGCAGGTGGCACAAGCTGAACGTCAACGGTTTCACTCAACGCAACGGCGCAGAACGGGCGACGAGAGGAGCAGTGCTCTGCTCCCGCATGGGTTCTGTCTGGCAGAGACACCCAGACCTCCTGCCTTTGCATTTCCACATTCTGATTACTTCATTTTTCTTAAGTATTTTATGAAAAACTCCACTGAAGTCCTCCAAATTCAGCTCCCAGAATACTTTCTGCTCAAGCCGAGAAAAAGTCAAAACAGCACAAATTTTGAACCTTAAATGACACCATGTTGTGAAAAAAAAAAGTTACTGAAAATTGAACAGAAAATCTACTATGAGTAATTATTATGATTAGACCCTATGATGTGCAAAAATAATACTCGCTGGTATCTTTTTTTGTCACACTATTTTGTCTTCACCTTGCCTTTGCTTTAAAGAACAAGAATTTTTTTTTACTCTATTTTTTTTTAAACTCTCTTCCATAGAGACAGGACTGCCACTTAAAAACGTCTCTGTAGCTATTATGGGAAAAGCCATTAAAACATCATGATTATGGTTACCATAAAACTGAATGGAATAGTGAAATTCTGAAATTAATATTATCAAAAAATGGGGATCATTTATCATTTTTAATAAGAACAGTGTGCTACAATACACTATATTAGTTTTTACAGGCTTTACTGAAAGTTACAGAGATTAATCCAATCATTAATGATTCCTATAATTTATGTATTATTACCTACTATGTCATTCTCAACAAGCTGAGCAGGCGAGAACTGTTATTCAGGGCGAAACAAAAGAACTGCAGCATTTCCTGTAAATTTTGATGTGCAAGAAATATGCTTCATTACACATGGCAAGAAGCAGATAGGAAATTAAAGTTATAGATTAAAAAAAAAAATTCCTTCAGTCCAAAGCAATGCTAATGATAATTGTAGTAGTACAGCATTTTGGAACAGCAGCAAGCAATTCCGAGGCA